GCGTGGGTTGGGCAGTGGGTGGGGCCTAGCAGGGTAGAACAGGACTGCTGTGAGAGGCGGAGCCTAAAGGGGTGAGGCACATCTGGGCGTGGCTTGGGTATGGGCGGGGCCTAACAGGGCATGGGTGTGGCCTAATAGGGCGTGGGTTGGGTGTGGGTGTGGCCTAGTAGGGCGTGGGTTGGGTGTGGGTGGGGCCTAGCAGGGTGGAACAGGACTGCTGTGGGGGGCGGGGCTTAAAGGAGGCGGTGCATTGGGTGGGCGTGGCTTGGGTTGGTAGGGAGGGGAATAATAGGGTGTGGTTTGTGTGGGGGCATGGCCTATCAGGGCGTGGCTTGGGCGGTGGGTGGGGCCTAAGGGGTGGAACAAGCAATGGGTGGAACAGGACTGCTGTGAGGGGCGGGGCCTAAAGGAGGTGGGATACTGGGTGGGTGTGGCTTGGGTGGATGGGAGGGGCATAATAGGGTGTGGTTTGGGTGTGGGTGGGGCTTAATAGGGTGTGGCAGGAAGGACTGGGTGTGCTTGGGCGGTGGGCGTGGCCTAGGAGCACATAAAGCATGTGGTTTGGGTGGTGGGCGGGGCCTAGAATGACAGCATGGGTGTGGCTTATGTGGTGGGTGGAGCCTATCAGGGCAGAGAGGACTTGTTTTGAGTGGTGGGTGGGGCCTAGTGGGGCATGGCAAGATGGAATGGGCGTGGTTTATGCCTGGTGGGGCGTGGCCGGTAAATGGGCGTGGTTTGTTAGAGGGGATGTGGCATAGTGGGGCATGGTCATGTAAGTAGGCGTGGTTTAGGAGCGGAGGGGCGTGGTCTAGGACAGGGTGTGGTTGGGGCGGAGCCTCAAGTGCTTTACCTGGACTGAGAGGGGTGGGGCTTGAAGGGGGCGTGGTCTGAGTGAGGAGTGGTGCCTGGGGGTGGAGCCTGTGCACAGTGGGCTCTGTGGAAGGGGCGTGATCTGAGGGGAGTGGGCGTGGTCTGAGGGGGAGTGGGCGTGGTCTGAGGTGGGTGGGCGTGTCCCGCAGGGCTCCACCCCCACTACCAGCCGCTGCTGTCCTGCACCCACCGGGCCAACGGCAGCGCCTTCGCCATCAGCTACGGCAGCGGCAGCCTCCGCGGCTTCCTGAGCACCGACACGCTCACGGTGGGCGGGGGTCCTGGGGAGGGGTCCTGGGTGGGGCTGGGCCTGGTGTCCCTGTGTCACTGTCCCTGTGTCACTGTCACCGTGTCACCGTGTCCCTGTCCCCACAGATATCCAACGTGTCCGTGCCCAACCAGACGTTCGCCGAGGCCGTGGCGCTGCCGGGGCTGGCCTTCGCGGCGGCGCGCTTCGACGGCGTGCTGGGGCTGGCGTTCCCCGGCGCGGCCGCCGGCCCCGCCCGGCCCGTCTTCGACAACATGATGGAGCAGCGGCTGTTCCGCAACAACGTCTTCTCCTTCCGCCTGCGCAGGTACGGCACAGCCGGGAACAGCCGGGTACAGCCGGGTACAGCCAGGGTACAGCTAGGCACACCTGGGCACACCTGGGTACA